TAATTTTGGGTGTAAAGATGGATCAATACACAGATATCTTCAAAAATGAAAGAAATTACATTAATTATAACAGTTACATTGAGCACAATCAAATTACATTGAACATAGGAGTATCCTGAAAAGAAAACACATATTTTCTCTGTGCTTAATAGATTATAGCTACAAAATACACTTATTAATAAAAAGATTAAGACCTGTATCAGTTTAATTACAATTGACTATAGGAGACATTTTAAAGTGTTTACAGAATACAAAAACAAATGACCATGTGTCTGCATACATCAGAATGTTTCAGTTGCTAGACTTCAAAGCATTGGGTTTAGGGCAGTAATAAAATACATGGTATTTCCATAAATATTCCTATTAAAAAATTCATTTTTTTAAAATGCATTCAAGAAAGAACATCCATAAAACAAGATAATTTCATTTATCTAATGAAAAACAGAATGTAAAACAAGATTAACTGTGTGCAGCATAGAATATGTTGAATTAAGAAGCATGACAAGATATCAATCCAGTAATCAATACGAAAACAAAATACAGGTAGTAAGATTTGCAAATTTGCACTGCATTTCAGTAATACTGCAGAATAACTGATGAACAGTTTTTCTCACTTGTGTTCAGCCATCTTCATCTAAAATCTATGGCTCACTTATTTTTGGATTATGAGTTCACATACAGACATATCTTCTAAATTATATTGATATTTAAAAGCATATGAGCAAACTCTGGTTATTTAAATTACTACTATGAACTAGAAAGATTCTATTTCCAGATAAAAATTTCTGAACATGACTGTCCATCTTTAATGAGACAGTAATCCACATTAAAGCAAAAGAAGTTATCCTGGGGCGCACTCTATGTTTATAGTTCCCTCTGCTGGTTATCAATAAAGTAGCTCTCAACAGTTATCACAAAAGCAGCATCTGAGTTTTTAGATTTTCTTCCAGCCCCGATTTTTAAAAACCTGCTTTTCTTTGTCTCAACCCACTTCCCACTACTGCTGTTCTCCTTGATGCAGCTGGATGGTGCTAACTCTCTATGTCTAATTTCTGCCTTCAGAATCTGGTCTAACCTCTGGAAGCTCATCACCTAAATTCTCAACATTCTGCAACTCACTATCATAGAATCATAGAATAGCTTGGGTCAGAAAGGACCCCAAGGATCATTAAGTTCCAACTCCCCTGCCAGTTATCTTTAATTTTTTCCAAACCATTTATTCATATGTATGCACCCTATGGGTAAAGATACTTCATTTTCCAGCATCCATGTTGATCTTCCCCTGTTATTATTATAAAACAACTGATATGTATAAATGAGTAAATATATTTAAAAATATATAAATATGTATATACATATCTGAAGCAACTGCTACATCTGTGCTGGATCAACTCAATATCTGAATGTAATGGCTTTCTCACCATACCAACTCAACTGAGAAAGATTTGTAACTGCAAAGCAGTCAGGAAAGAGATCACTGACAGCCATAACAAAGAAGTACAATAATAGAGACTTTTGGCTATGAGTCTGTGCCGTTTCTTTACATGCCTACAAGTCAAGACCACTATAATAAGGCAAAACAAAACATTTTTTTAATGCACAGACAATGAAACGCAACTGTCTTCAGTTTACACATATTGAATATTTGGTAATACTTATCACCCCACTTCTTACAACCTTAGCATGATGTTCTTAATACAAACAAGTATCTATGTATACCTTGATGGGGAATATATTAAGAAAATATTATAAATCTAACATCTTACTAAATCTAAAATCTTACTGTTGCCATTCATGACAAATAATACCATTTTTAATACCATCTAGACATTTAAATAACTTTCCTCAAAAGTTCTCCTGTGGACAGATTTCCCAAAGCCGATCCCAAGGCTGTTGTTCAGCTACTCCCTCTCCTGGATCAACTCAGTACCTGTCTGCCATATGAATTCCAGTCATTAGTATAGAGTCAAGTTCATGCTCTTTTCTTTTTCCCTTTAATGTGAACACAACAGCTTTTTTTCCTCTCATGTTCTGAAAGGTCTAACACACAGAAAATCCACAACAGCCATTGGGGTGACCTCACTGCAGCCTTTCAATACCTAAAGGGAGCCTACAAACAGGAGGGGAGTGAACTCTTTGAAAGGGTAGATAACTGCAGAACAAGGGGAAATGGTTTTTAGTTGAGGGAGGGAAGATTTAGGTTGGGTGTCAGGGGGAAGTTCTTTATAAAGAGAGTGGTGAGGTGCTGGAACAGGCTGCCCAGAGAGGCTGTTGATGCCCTGTCCCTGGAGGTGTTCAAGGCCAGGTTGGATGGGACCCTGGGCAGCTTGGTCTGGTATTAAATGTGAGGTTGGTGGCCCTTCATGTGGCGGGTGTTGTTAGAGATTCGTGATCCTTGAGGTCCATTCCAACCCTGGCCATTCTGTGATGCAGGCTTGTCTGCAAGGCTTCTCTTTAACTTACTCTCCCTTTCTGCATACATTGAACAACAGATAAAAATAAACTCATACCTTCAAATTTATTCTTACCCCTTAAAGTCTATTCCACACAATATCCTTGTGCGGAATACACAGCTATTGAGAATCAACAGTTTTGTTACATACAGTATTGAAGATCTGCTGTTCACTGTGTATTCAAATTACGCTAACATCTATATTTTACATTCAGCATGACACCTTGCTTAAATTTCACTACAGTATCATAAATGTTACATGTTATTATTTCAGATCTACCTGCAATAGAAGACTACACTGTACACCGAATGCATTTTGGCAAAGCCAGTGGAGGCCTACATCTCCAGGAAAAGCTCCAATTAGGTGGGCTGCAGCCTAAAGCAGCCCCTATTCCAAAATAGATCTACAAATGTGTCACAACTATTGTCAACATTGTTTCTTCTGGAGGCTCACAAAGTCTGGCCTACAGTTGCTATCCCTGTCAGTACAAAAGGAGGGTGTATGAGCCACGAGGCCTGGCCATGACCTTCAGTCTTCCGCTATCCCTGACCAGATGTTTTACTTCTCTCACAAGCTTCTTCATTCCAGCTGTAATCCCTGACCTTCCCATTCCTATTCCTAAATGTGTAGCAACCTATCCTTCAGCTGAGTCATTTGGCAGAAAAGCAGTGATCCAGCTCTGCACCCACATTTAATTTAAACACTGTGTGAACACAGCTACAGTGAAGTCACATTAAGCATACAACTTGCAGGATTTCATTTTGCCTGATGTTTTATGGTTATTGATGAAAGTAAATCTGGATGAGATCTGAAAGAAGAAATCACACAGGAATGAAAGAATCTGACGCAGCAGGGAATCCCGAGTTATTTGGACATGACTATTTGGACACCAAGTGTGCGTGGATCATGTCCAAACCACAACATAACCATAAATGACTTAAGCAAATGTCCACTTTAGAACTCCACATCCTTCTTAATTTTGAGAATGTTTACATAAATGTTTATAGAACTCAGCTTAGGTATGGTATGTCTTAATACCGAGACCAGTATCATCTCATTTGTCTCCATACAAAGCATACTGGAACCTCATAAAGAATGACAAAAAAAATTCTTGTAGGCACCCGTGAGCACCAACACCTAAGAAACAAGGAAAAATAAAAATAAAAAAAGGATGAAAAGATCTTACAGAGGCTGATTTTGTAACTAGTTCTTTCCCTTAAGTAACCCCCTTTATTCTGAACCTTAATTATTTCATTTTCAGTTTCACATTCTTTTGGTTTTCTGAGTGTAAAGAAAAACAACCCAAAAGGAACGATCAGGAGAAAGATTCTCAGAAGTGCTCAATCTGCCCGGCATGCTGCTCTGTAATTATTCCAATTGGCTCAAGATTTCCTTAGAAATGTTTCCATGGGAATCCTGGCTGTAAGAGCTGCCTCCAAGCGAGTCTGTTTTGGTACCTGAGGACTATCAGGGAGCCTCTGAAACTGCTTTGTGCGTCATCTTTGTTCAAGGAGACTGAAACACGGGTAAAACGTGTAGAAAACGGGATTGATAAACAGGAAAGGTAAAACGGGAAGAAACCAAACAAATAGAGCAGAATGGTGAAGAATCCCAAAGCCAAAAACGCAAACCGTATGCCCCACGGCCCCACTCCCCAACATTTCACGGAAGCTTCTTTACTCTCGTCCCTACACGGCACCTGAGACGCGGCCCACGTCCGCCTGCGTCAGGCCGCGCAAAGGCCTTTACCTCGTAGATCTGGACGAGTCCGTGCCGCCTCAGGTAGGAGCGAAGCTCGGGGCCGCCGCCGCGCAGGGCAGCCACGGCCGCAAGGCGTCGCGGTCGCATAGCAACGGGCCGGGATGGAGGTGCTGCCCCGGGCCTGCCCGCCCCGCCCCGCCCCGCCCCTTCCACACACGCGTTGGTTCCCCGTGAAAAAGCGAGGGCAGCGATTAGCCCTCGGGGTGTGTCCGTGCTGGGAGGGGGAGCGCGGTGCCTCCCGCTTTGGTCAGCGCTTACGCGTGTCCCTGGGACACGCACTGTACACAGCGCTGTGCTTTGTTAAGACAGCGGTATTTTCACGTTGTTGTTGTAAGAACAAGCCGAAGCAGAGTCGAGCCGCGGCCGAACCGGGCGAACTCGCCATCCGAGCAGGGCACGCAGCTCTCAGCGCAGTGGGGCGGCGCCGGATGCGGTATCGGCTTCCGCAGACGGGGAAGATGGGCGAGCGGCGTATCGTGAGAGCAGCCGTGCTGGGGCTCGTGCTCGGCGCCGGCGCCTGCTACTGCTACCGCCTCTGGAGGCGGGCAGCGGGCCGAGGGCGGCGGCGGGGAGCGCCTTGCGTTCCGCCCTCAGGTGAGGAGGAGGAAGAGGAAGAGGAGGGGCGGCGGCGGCGGCGGCGGCGGCGCGGGACCGGCAGCGCAGTGCTCCCGCTGCCGCAGTGAGCGCCGGGAAGGCCCGCTGCAGCGGGGCGGGCTTACAGCCGGAGTCTCCCCTGGAGAAATTCAGAACAGGCCTGCTTGCTTTCCCATGTAAGGCAGCGTAGGGAGCCTGCTCCTGCAGGCCTTGGAGCCCCTGCGGTTCTGCGATCCTGACAGAACGGCGTTTCTCTGTTCGCGAGTCTCCATCACGGAGCAGCGCCGTTCTTATCATCTGGGCTGTGGCTCTGTCAGAGGAACGCGGTGCGCGAGCACATTGTCACCAGCGTGATTTCTGCAAGCAGTAGGCTGCAGATCAGAAGGCTTATTCACTTTCCCTGCAATGTCCAAACAGATCTCCACATTTCATCTTGTGGGACACAAGGAAAAAGTTAACGTTTGGTGAACATTCCCTGTAATTTTGCAAGGGAGGTTTGCTGTTAATTAATCTTAGAGAAATACACCTCAAGCTTTTGTTACACATTCCTTTTCTTTTCCTTCTTTTTGTACCTTGAGAAGAAGTAGTCACGGGATTCAGGAAAAAAGATGAAAGTTGTGCTGTGGTAAAGCAAAATCTTTTTGCCTTTATATGGTTGTTGGGTACAGTCAAACATAGAACATGTACGTGTTTGTGGCCAGTGGGTCGAGGGAGGTGATTCTCCCACTCTGCTCTGCCCTGGTGAGGCCACATCTGGAGTACTGGGTCCAGTTCTGGGCTCCCCAGTTCAAGAAAGACAGGGAACTGCTGCAGAGAGTTCAGTGGAGGGTCATGAAGATAACTGGGGGCCTGGAGCACCTCTCTATGAGGAAAGGCTGAGGGCTGGGGCGGTTCAGCCTGGAGAAGAGAAGTCTGGAGAGGGATCTCATCACTGTGTATAAATACCTGAAGTACAGGAGTCGAGTCACTGGGAGCAAACTCTTTTCAGAGGGGTACAGCAATAGAACAAGGGGCAATGGGGAGAAACTGGAACTGAAATTCAACTTGCTAAAAAAGCATTCATTGCTAACTAAGTGAAATGTCTCAAACTTGGTATTATTTAATTTTTAAACAGTGATGGAAGAAATTCCTCCATCACCCCACAGCATGGACGCAGACGCTCTACAGAAGCTTATTCATTTGCTCAAGGCCACAGATGATCCATTAATTCAGGAGCAAGCTTTAATCACTCTTAGTAACAGTGCTGCCTTCTCTGTAAATCAAGTAAGTATTGTTCTGTAGAAAACAACAGCATTTCATTACCGGTCAGTATGGAAAATGAAGGGTGCTGTTTTGCTTAAGAGTGTCACAAGATTGAGAGCTGGCCTAACCTGCATTCTGAATCTTCTGTTTTATGTTTATGCCTTAATTTCATGCTAGTCCAAAGAATGCAATTAATCATCCTCACAAGATTTCTGTGCTTAATATTTGTATGCATTAAATGTACTCAAACTCTCTACAGCGTCCTGTATTTTCAAAGTGCTGTAAATATGTCTTTTGTTGCCTTCAGTTATATAATGTTAATTAAAAGGCTGAATTTGAGACAAGTTAAATAATCTCAGGATCCAATCTGAAATCTACTGAAATATTTTCAAGCAGCTTTGATGTTTACAAAGCTGTGTGCCATTTGCAGCAGCTTCCCTGCCATCCAGCTCTCTTTGATTCAGTTGGAAATATGATGCAGAAAAGCTTTGGCCCTAAGCAGGACTGTTCAGAATTTCATTTGAATTAATAGATCCCAAATTCAAACGGCAGCTTAGTGATTACATGTTTTACAATTAACAAGCTGCATCAAATCCTTCTTCAATTAAGCACTAGCAAAATGTAACGGGTTTTATTCTGCCTGCTTTAGGAGCCTGCTTAATTTGCAAGCTCTTCAAAATTCTATTATTTTATGGGCAACTCTACAGAAGGTTTTATGCTGTTGGTGTCTCTCAAATGAAATTACATTCCAGTGTGATTTTGATACTGTGAGCAGGTGGCAGTTTTAAAATAAATACCATAATTTAATTTTGTATGCAATCATAATACAAAAAATAACAAACACTTTAAACAGTCTGTTCTGAAAGTTTTAATTCACACAATTCCCTTTGCACAAAAAGAAACTTTGAGTAAAGCTTGCAGCATTTAATTCAAAATTTGCAACAATTTTATTGAGTACCTTTTATATTTCAGGATATAATTCGAAATTTGGATGGCCTTTCTGTAATTGGAGGGATGCTCTTGGATTGTGTTCCCACAGTTAAAGAAAAAGCACTAAATGCACTTAATAATTTGAGTATGAATATTAAAAATCAGGAAGAGATACAGGTAAGTTTGTTACAAGGAAAAAATAAAAGTAGCTGAGACACAGGAAATAGTATGGGGCTTTCAGCATATCTTTATAATATGAGGGAGGATGCTAAAATGTCTTGAGGTTAGACATGAGAGTCATCAGCTGTAGATGAGCTGTGCACCCTAAAGCCAAACAGATAACTTAATGCATTTGTATCACTGGCAATTTATTTTTGAAAAAGCACCAAGGAAACTGGGCAGGCTGTATTTAGCTTTCACCAAGCGCTGCTAAACAGAGATACTGCTGTTAGGTTTATAGGGAAATAACGTGAGGCAAAGTGATTTCTAAATATCCTTACAACATCAGTAAGGTCGTGTAATGAGATGGGTAGCATTCTGAGTCTCACATGACTCCGTAGGCAAGGGAACTGGATGATAAAATGGGAATTGATCCCTCGGGCTTGTTTGTGACCCACTTCTCAGTGTGGTGTTTTACTCTTTAAAAAAAAGGAAAAAGTCTGTAATAATGGTAGTAAGTCCTGCTGATAAATACAGTAGATGGTACAGATGAGATGGGACCAGCCATCAGAAAAGCCTCTTTTGGCATTATTTGATCAAGAAGTGTCCAAGCAGTGAGCTTACATGCAGATTTGAAGATTTTTGGTAGCTTCTTCAGTAGCATGATAGAAAGCCACTTTGATCATACACTGTCATTTATAGCACCTTTAGTGCTGAGCAACATTTTTTAAAGAAGTGCTTGCCCGTAGCGCATATTTATATAGACACGTAGGCAGAAAACAACTCCTTTGGCGAAGGCAAAGTAATTTTTTTCTTAGCGCTCACAGAGTTCACTGTGTGATATCATTCAGAAGAAAATTTTGTAGATAACAGTTGCCAGTGTCAGTTGTCATCACTGTTCCCGAGATGTACTCCAGTGAATGGACCATGTAATTGGAAGGAAGGATTTCTTTCCAAGCCTTACCCTTGGCTTGCTCTGAACATTTAAGACCTTAGTTGCTTTAAGTAGGTGATTTTCAAAATAACCTCTTGAAGCAAAGGTACCACTTCTGAGGTGGTGTCAAAGCAATTTGAGTTTTCAGAGTAATTTGTGCTTCAGGAAAGTTAGGGAGTGTAAGTCTGGCCTGTCTCCTTCTATCAGGTCACAGTATTTGTATGTATTAAAAATGAAACATAAATGCTTGTTTCTAAGTACCTCAATCAGATTATGTATTCAACAAGCAGTTCAGTAGGTATTTATGCTCCTGTTTCTAGACTATTGATGCTATTTATGAATAGGAAATCTGCTTGTCTCAAAGAAATGTCTTTCCTTTTCATCTTCTCTTTTTCCCAAGGTATATATTATGCAAGTTTGTAAGAACATTGAATCAGCTCCTCTGAACTCTGATCTGCAGCTAGCTGGACTGCGATTGTTGACAAACATGTCTGTTACCAACGACTATCATTATAAGATGATAAACAAGATTCCATGCTTTCTTCATTTGCTTTCAGAAGGATCTGAAAGGACACAGGTATTGAGTACTGTGTTGTTATAAACCACTTATGAAGCTGCTTTACTTGCCTCCTTTGTACTGTTTTTATAATATGGTTTAGAGTGTGCTTAGAAAAACAAGTATTTATTGGCAATAGCTGACAGTCCATAAAATATGTGATATTCATATTGATATTACTTACTCCACATAAATTCAGGAAGAATGGAGAGAGGGAAGGAAGAGAATCCTGATAATGCAATTACTGGGCTAGAGCTGTAGCTGTGTGCACAGTTTTTGCTCACTTCCTTTACTACAGCAGCTCTAGAGTTCTGCTTACCAAACACTGCAATTGCACGACAGGGCAAGAAAGATCTGCATTTGAAAGGCTTCATGGATGCATGAATACCTGGGATATTCCATCAATATCAATGCACTGAATTGTTCTCCCAGATCAAAAATAGCTTTTAGAAATACGAAGTTCCATTAAAGTTACTAGATATACTTCACTGAAGTGCAATAAATAACACTTGGCCTTTTTTCAGTGTTCATATAAAAGATTAGTGCATCAAAGTCCAGGAAAGGACAAAGCTGTGTTTGTGTGTGCTTCTGATCACGTTTTAAGTGCTTGTTTATTTTTTAACCCTGAATCCTGTTCCTTGTTGCTTGTTCTTTAGATTAACATCTCCTTCCACAGTCTCACCTCCTGCTTTTAAAATACTAAGGAATTTCAGTCCTACATTTCAAACTTATATAAGCCTTACACATGTAATTGTGTGAAAGCTTAAATCCTGAGAAAAACCAAAATCTATAATCTTTTCCATGTTAAAAAAGATGACAGTGCAGACTATACTGGAGTCCCTACAGTTTGGTGACCATGTTAAAAGAATGATTTTTATGACTTTCCTTGCTTTAGTGAAAAATCCAGATTCTCTGAAAGAAGGTGAGAATTTGTGTTTGGAGACTATCAAAATGAAGGAAACCAGAAAATAGTGGGCTACACTAAAAAGTGATGGGATATGCTCAGGGTAGAGAGAGATGACAAAGGCCAGGGAGCACAAATGTCTGTTCACACATTCTGGTTCTGGAGACTGCAATGATCACGCATGTTCCTCATTTCAGATACAAGTTTTGAAAGTCCTTGTGAACTTGTCTGCAAACCCAGCTACAACAAGACATTTTCTCAAAGCTCAAGTAAGGTTTTAGTTTGTTTTTTTTTTTTTTTTTTTTTTTTTTTTTTTTTAGCAATTACTTATGTGTATGTATGTAGATGTGTACGTGTAATACGTCTAAATTCCTCTAATCCAAGTTTATGTGCAACTCTGAAGTAAAATTCTAGTAAGTACCTGGTTCATATAAGTAATTAGAAGCATATTCTTTCACAGGTTAACATTCCAGCTTGTGGTGTATTACAGATTGCATTAACTGCAAATGTATGGGGCGTATGCACTTGAAGGCACTTGATGGTCAGACTTCCTGTATAATATTTCAGATCGTAGGATCACAGAAAAGTTTGGGTTGGAAAGAACCTTACAGATCTTAGAGTTCCAGCCCCCCTGCTACCCACCAGTAGGCTCCCCAGGGCCCCATCCAGCCTGACCATGAGTAGTTCCAGGGATATGATATCCACAGCTTCTCTGGGCAGCCATGCCTGTGCCTTACTGCTCTCATAACGAAGATTTTTTTCCAAATGTCTAATCCAAACCTCTTTTAGTTTAGAGCCAAATAGTAGTAAGGTGGAGAAGCCTGTTCTTGCTTTCCATTTTTACCTTTTCAATTGCTTGCACACCTAAGAAAAATAAATTCCACTGAAATCCCCACCTCTTTATTCAAATGCATCCATAAATCTTTTTCTCTTGGCATTATGAATAACTTTCCTTGTGCATCGCTTGTCTTCATGGAGAACTTTACCTGACACTTCCCATTTCTGGCTTAACATACACATTTATTTCAGTTACATCCTTTTCTCATACCAAAACCAAAAGATTTGGGGCTGGAATGGTTCTGCACCTTCTTCCTCCTCACTAAAATATGTTTCTTAAAATATGTAGTGGCTGATTTAAAAAGCAAACTTTTTACTTCTGAGGTATTTCCCATAAGCAGAGCTAGTCTAGATACTACTGGATTTTCACAATTAAAAAAGACTAGGGTAGGCATATGTTCAGTCCTCTGCTGAAAGTATATCCTGCTCAGTTCTATCAGACACGTTAACAAACGTTCAGATCACCACAGAAGGCAAAAGTAACATTACGTGAAGAAAAGCAGGCTCTCTTACAGACAGAAAGCTTCCAGACCACTCTATTTTAAAAACTGAAAGTATGAAGTATTAATTAGCCTGTGACACATCTTTTCAAAAGAGCAAATATGAATGCTGTGCAGGTTTCCTGCACGATGTCTCATTATGTGTAGTTCTGGTATTTCACAAGGTTTCTGACTTAGATTGTTTAGGTGCAGATTTCTTTTCTATTTTTTAAAGTTAGATTTAGCTAGATGTACATAGCACCGATGATTAAATATGGATGATTTATTTGATGTCCTAGGTGCCATCACTGTTGTTACTCTTTGACAACTGTATGAAGACAGATATTCTGCTCAGAGCCCTGGTATTTGCAGCAAATTTGAAAAAGAACATGAACAGTGAAGGCGGCATCATGATAGAGGATGAATACAGTGAAGACTCTGTTTTCTCTATACTCTGCAGGGATCCTACTGCATTTGCTCAGAAGCTGGCATCTTTACTGCATCACCCTGACACAGATGTGAAAGAGCAAGTTGTGAGACTACTAACACAGTAGTAATTTACTAGTGACTGACAAATATCTTAAGATTAGATATTAAAAAAATGCTGAATATTGCTATTGTACTTGGCAATCAATCACAAGAGACTCTATATTAAACACACTGCAGAGTATAACAGATTTCTTGTAAAAAGCAAGATAAGAAACAGGTTACTTAGCACCGAGAAACCACTATACAACTGGTGTATGTAAACAGAGGGAGGCACACTTTAAAGCATGAAAGCTTTTACATGTACAATGAACATTTTAAATTCATGAATAAGGTCTATCTAGATATTCTTAAGGTTAGAATTTTTGTGCCTTAGATATTTACAGCTGTTGAATAAGCATCTCTTATAATGATGCATTAAAGATTCAGCAATCAGAGCTTAGTTGTTTCCATTTTATTACTGATACCTGTTAAACAGCAGCTATTTAGTTTTTTTCAGTTTTAGTTGAAAAACAGTGCCAAACTATCACTGTCTTCCTGCAGAAACAGTATTTTCAATGAAAAGTGCATATTAAAATTATGTAATCATATGTTTAGTACATCTATTCCATTTAGTTGAAGTACAGTGCAGTCAGACACAACATGAAACGTTTCTATACTTCAGCAAAATCAAAGGATTTTTATCTCCCTTAGAGGACTGATAGCTTTAAATGTGAAAGTGTACGTGCTTTTCAAATTACATTACCACACCTCTGTATTATCTTTGTTAAAAGAAGCCAGGAAAAGCAATATCATTCACATTTTTACAAAAGCTTCTGCTCTGTAGCAGCCCTCCAGCCTGTGCGGACAGGCTTTATGAGAGCTCATGGGAGAGTTCTGTTCCTGGAATGTTATCAGAACAAGTGCTTCTGTTGAGTTAGCCCCCATACATTTTCACTCATCTCTGCAGCATTAATTCAAAGTTAAATGGAAAATCAAAACATTGCAAAGGAAACTGGAGGAAGTTTCATTGATGAGCAAAGAACATGTAGTAGAAAATACTGTATACCAAAACAAGACTACTAAAACTTCCAGAATGCCACATTATGAAGACACCGTGTATTATTATTTTTTTTTTTTTTAAGAGAAATGCATTACCTAAACTGTGACCAGATGCTTCATCTTTAAGTTAATACACACACTCAACTGTTAATAAAATACTACCTTTTTCTTTCTGTATGTTCTCTAGATATCTTACTTATTTTCAGTAGACAACATTTTCCAAATAGATAATGCTGCAAGAAAAGTATGACCTGGAAAATACAACTTTTGTGTGCCTTGATCAATGAACAGGTAAAGCCAATTAATCTCTACAAGTAGTTTTAATTCAATAGGAATACCATTAAGGCAGAAGTACACATTAACATGAATCCCAAATAGAACTCTGTCCATCACTGCACTTGTGGTGAACTTTTCTTTCTCCCTTCCACTGGTCCAAACCCAGTCCATCTTACAATACACAAATTGTATTATAATCTCATAGTGTTTTGCCAGTTTTTGATTAAAAAATAAAATAAAATATAAATAAATAAATAAATAATTTTTATATATATATATATATATATATTTAAAATAAAAAAATTATATATAAATATATAAAACTCTTGGATTTAGCAAAGATAAAGCCTAGGCCAGACACTGAAGAGTCACTTATTCCACCTTCTTTGTCTTCTAAGACAAGAAGATATCAGTCTATTCTTGATATATAATCTGATTTTATCAACATTTCCTTTCTTAATCTCAGCAGTGGAGATGCTTTGATGTTCCTCTCTACCTACCCCACTCTAAAAATCAGTTTCTGTCAATTGCCAAAGGATATGAATGAATTGAAATGACCATTGTCCTCTTTATCTAAAGCACAAGGAAGCATATTGCATTCTTGCTTCAGTCTTCTGGTCCGTACCTGTTTTAAAATCTTTTCTGCACAGAACAATACTGCTGAGGTGTTTTGAAATAATGCAAGACTGTCCAATGCATCTTTATGAAAGGGTCTTATTTTTTTTTCTTTAATCTTCTGCCCCACACCTGGTGGAATCTTATCAGCACCAAGCAGAACAGCTGTCACTATTGTACATACAAATCCTGTACATCTAAACACAAAAGTACATCTAAATAAATACAGTAAGTACATCTAAACCAAAAACATTTGACATTGCTGACATTTAAGGCACCAATCCTTGTATCTTGCTGCTTATCTACATATAATAGCTACTCCTTCAGTTTCATTTTTTCCTTCCTAAAATACAGAACTTTACACAATGCAGTCCGATAGTTTCGAAATGAAAAAAAAAAAAAGAGTTTTAATAATGTCCATCAAAGATATCCAGCAACTTGGTCTCCTCCAAAATATTATACATAATAGACACTACGCATCCAAGTCATTACTGAAGCTACTGTGTAAATAAAAGGCCCAACACAGACTTGGTCTGAAACATCCTTGTGGAAATCAACACTGAACTACTAGCAGTAGTTTTAAACCAGTTTTGAACACATTCTGGTTATTAGATTCATAGTAAAAAATACCTTTTCAAATAAAGAAATCTTGATGTTTGTTAAATACGAATTATACTACAGGAATATAAGATAGTTTTGCTTACAGATAGTTTAATTACCTACTCCAGAAGCCTTCCTCAGCATTAACTTAGGCTAATTCATCTTTGTCTCCTTGTGCTGTTCTTCGCTGGCATTAAGTTCTTTAAGATTTCTAGCATGTCCTAGTGTTGGCTCCTAAAAGGTAACTGTTGCAAACTGAAGCTCACTTGCAGCATGAGATCTCCTTGAGTGGTTTTAATTAGTTGGCAGAAGTCAATGCCTTAAAATCACAGGGAATTTATTGTTTTCATTGATCTTGGTGAAGTATAAGCATAAAATGCAACACACAAAAGTAAAAAAAAAAAAAAATAAAAAAATCACAAAGTATTTATGAGTTATGAAGCAAAACAACCACCATTATTACTTTTTGTTTTTGGCAACAACAGGCTTTAATTCTTTAAATGAGCATGGCAATTTGATACAGATACGTTCAGCCAAGTATTACAATACCAAGTAGTTTTGTAGTCTCTCATTCAACTTGATTATAAGGAAGCTATAAGAAAAATTACCACAGCCCTTTTCACTTAAAAAAGAAAAAGTATTTAATTGGCTGAGTTGATGCAAAGACAAGTGCCACTAATGGACTCTTCCATTTCATGTACAATATTTGACAAGGAAATTATTTTAGACATGTTCAGGCCTCACTTAAAAACATTAACAATGAAAGTGCACAGATACTCTGGTCATCATTAAGCATTACACATGGATGTTGCAATATTGAAGCTCTCTCTCCCTGTTAAAGGCACATTTCTTTAGATCGTTTTAAAATTCAATTTTTGTGGTTCCCCAGTAAATGAAAATGTAGCAGCACACAGTAAAATAATGATTTGACTGTGCTTGTGCTTTAATAACACAGATGTATTGGGAGATGCCCCATACAACGTGTTGTGAAGCTACCGAGGAACAGGACATAATTTGAAAATCAATGATTAACGAGTGAGATATAACAATGAGTAATTAATATCAGCCATTAATTATGAGACTGTCCTGTTCTGAAGGTATTATTGCTGCTAGAGGCAAGATGAAGAGTTTAAAAAAAAAAAAAGCAAACAAAAAATGTTCATCACTGGTGCAGGTAAGAGTTGAAACTGCAAGTTATATCCAAACAATATCTCATTTATTAAACAGTGTTTGGATCACCTCCCAAAATTTGTAAATAAACTAATAAAATGAATATAACTGAAAAATGAAAACAAAAACAACAGTAAAATGAAATTTCTATGAGGACTTAAGTTATGAAAATGACAAACCTGGAATCTAAAAATCCAATTAACTCAATCAACTCTGTAAGTACATCAAATTAATATTTGCAATATTAAATACTTGTTCAAATCAAACAAGGCTTACAAGGAATTGCTGCTGGTTTACTGTTCAGACCCATCGTTTGTACTCAAGTCCTGTGACTCTCCATGGTTTAAGACAAAGAAGTCTTCTTTTTTCAAGCCGTATCTTTCAAGAGCTTCGTTCAGTTTAACTGGAGGATCCAAGTAATACTAGAAAAATAACAATACAAGGAAAAAACATCACTACCAAATTTAGTGGGCAAGAAAATAAAAAGGAGTATCATCACTCTAAAAGACTGCTTTACATATTAACTATAACCTGAAAAGGAAAGGGAATACATTTGTCAAATTGAACTGAAATGGTTTGTTCTGTTTTTAGTTTTTAAAGAATTAGAACACTGATTTACACTCATCCAGTATCTAGTAAAGCATAATTTATCACCCAAAATTCAGTCCTTTCCAATGTAAATAGATCTCTTAGAAGCAGACACAGTCATTAGTCATTCCTAACACAAAGAAGGAAATGCTAATAGGCAGTAGATGGCGCTTTCTCACATTAGTAAAACAAAGTTGTCAGTGTTAATGTTTTCAAAACAGTGCCATTTCAATATAGTGAATATAACATTCAGGGGAACAGCATTTGTTACGTTTTTAAAAAGGCATCTTAAGGGAGAATAATCCATTTTTGTGTGTTTCAAAGTAACCAATCTGTTTTGTAAGTACTAATGACAGAGCATTGAAAGTATCTCGGATAGAAAATGTTATGAGTCAAGTAAACCTAGTTAACAGAAGCAGAAGAAAGTTACAAGAAGTAATAGTGCAACTGTTGCAAAGAAAGGTGAAAAACAGCTACCAGACAAGGTGCCGCCAAGTAAATGTAGACTTCCTGCCTTTCACTTCATTTTTAGTCACTGTTACAATATTCAGGTAACTAATTACTACAAGTGATACAAGAGCAAGGGCAGAAATCTGCAATAATTCAGGATAACCAAGTTTTCCCACGTTTTGCCAGTAAAAGAAGCTGATACTTAATCATGAATCACAAATAGCCTTCAATGCATTTACTAGACTGACAAGGTGCATAAAAACTATCCTGAACTAAGGGCACTCAATTCTTACGGCTTCCAAGAGATGTATGCAATGAAAAAGTAAACTTGGCAATGAATGTCCCCGTCTGCCCTATTCCTCAGCTGTCAGACATCAGGTTTATTATTACTCTACAGGATATATTCTAGCTATTTAAATGCCTATAAAACACTACTTCTTCAGAAGATATTTGATAGTTTTTTTTTTTTTTCCTGTCTGAATATTCTATAACGACAGCTAGTGCATTATCATATCTACTTTATTTTCAATATGAAATGTTCAGAACCAAAGACTCATAGGTTTCTCAACTGCATTGGTTTTTCTTCACAGATTTCAGATGAAAGGACACAGAGGATCTGTCATAAGAATCAATCTACGACTCGAAGGTTCAGACTTCAGAGAAGAGAAAGTTACTGAAATGCCAGATTACAGACTAACTTTCTTGTCTGCTTCAATTTTTCTCTGCCCCATGTTTTCCACTGCAGTGTTGATTGTTTTGTTTTTTAACTTTACGCTAAATAAAAAGTAGGCAAATAAATTAATTAGGGTGCTCAATTGGAGAACTCTACTACCCAATATATTTACTTTCTCTAAACCAGAAGGAATGTAGTTGTAACAATTTCTGTGTATCTAAAACCTTCAACAACAAAGAAGGGACTTCAAAGATGCTGCATAGCATAAGATTTCCAGTATGCTTCTCTGTCTGACAGGAACCATTAAAAAATAATGCTAATAGATCTCCAGGTGTTTTAATATCTATACTTTAAAATTAATCTTAACTATTTTACACATTAGTTACCAAAAAGCTACGTATCGTTTTGATGCACAGTACATATAGTAACAACTTTTCACTCATATTACATTTTAATTATACATTTATAGATACATGGGTTAAATTGCATGAAGGAAATAACATTAATGATTGTGTAGTTATAAAATCTGAGCTCGTATGTAGTGCTTAAATTTACCTCATTTGCTAAAGCAAAGGTTCCCCAATGAATTGCTACAGACTTCTTCGCTTGAACATCAATATGGATTCTTACTGCTTCTTCAGGATCCACATGTTGATGTTTCATAAACCACCTACCAAAACACAACGTAATTTTTTTGTGTCACCAGACTTCTTCTTTACCTTCCTGGAGTAAGTTGCAAGGAATCTAAAAATATACATTTGCCCAATCAAGAAGTTAGACTATATATGTCTTAAAAATATGCAGAACACTCAAAATCAACAGGCCAGAAAATACCAACATACTCACAAAACAGCAGCTCATGTATTTTTACTCCCCAGAAAGTTATTTTCTTACCTATAATTTTAATAGCATAAGGACATATTATTGATACCTGGGGGCATTAAGACCACAGATTTAAATTACACTTAATTTCATGCCATAAAAGTATGCGCTTCAGAAGATAGCCAAAGGGAGTGGTGAGGAAACAGAGAAGGGGACCTAGGCATTTTTGAAAAACACTATATATATATAGTTTTATATATAAAAATATATATAAAACACTATATATATATATATATATTTTTTTTTACCATGTTCCGATTCTTATCTTCTTTTCTCAGACTACACGTGCTCTGCTTTCAGCATTATAACAATTGTTACCATCTAAAAAATTTAGATACCCCATGGTAAATAGGATACGAATTCCTGAACAAACAGGGCTTTCACACACTAGAAAGGATTCATCTTTGTTTCCAGATAAATTGCAAAAGCAGCATAAGGACTTCAGCAAGGGAAAAATGCAACCTGTATGCACCTAAATGACATGGATTGAGAAATGCTATTTAAGAGAAAAAGCCACCAAGTAATTCCAAATTTTGACTCAACATTTTTCATGGAACTCAGCCAATTCATCCTTGCTATACTTAAGACTGAAGAATAAAACCTCTGAGAAATGCAAATACGCAAGAAAGACATTTCAGTTCCACCTTCTGGTTGCTGAATGACAAAACTAAGAAAAATGGGCAATTTGTCTCTTTTCCCTATTTTGACCAAAACATTAGATTTTCATACCTCGGCTCATAAGCTCCAATGGGGATGGCTGCAAGATCGAAAGGTCCAAATCTTTTACCTATCTGTTCAAAAGCAACACAGTATCCGGTGTCTCCTGCAAAGAAAAATCTATTCCAAGGTCCCAAGACAGACCAGCTGCCCCACAGAACCTTGTTGTCATCTGTCACAGTCCTTTTGCACCAGTGTTGAGAAGGGGTAAAGACAAAAGTCACCGCATCGTGACCAGGGACGCAGTTCTCTTCCCACCAATTCAGTTCAATCACATTCTCACAACCACATCTCTGCATCCAGTCTAAGAGCCCTAGAGGCACAAACCAGCGCAGCTCACTGCCAAAGCGTTCGTTTAAACTTTTTACAGAGTTGTAGTCCAAATGGTCGTAGTGAGTGTGGCTGATGACAACAGCATCTATTTTGGGGAGCTGGTCAACCGTGCACGGAGGTGGTCGGAAGCGCTTGGGGCCCATCAGCTGCACAGGAGAAGCCCGCTGGCTGAAGATGGGGTCAGTGAGAAATACCAGTTCATCCATTTCCACCATAACTGAGGCATGTCCCAACCATGTGACTCGCATACCAGCTCCTGTTTTTCCAACAAGTTCTGGGTTTTGAACAAAGTATGGTTTTAACACTGGAAGCTCTCTGTCAAGTTCCTACCAGAAAAAAGAACAAAATATGCATGAGACATATCAGAACGTACTTGGCTGTGAAACAGAAACTTCATACAAGGCACAAATCATTCCAGTCAAGACTTGTGATTTGTTTATATTTTTAGGCAACTTTTATTTTTAAGAACTGCAATACAGATGTCTTTTTAATGGTGCTTTTTCCCAGCAAGTTCCTCCTGCATTAATCTTTTATTTGGTCACATTTTCACTTCCCTTTCTCAAGAGAAGAGAGTTCAAGAAAGGCTAAGAAACCTGCTAATGCTGATACTGATGTCCCAGCACTTCTGGTTCCTGGTTAGATTCTCCCTGTGATGGTTGTTGCCCTCTGTCTCTAGCATTAGATTAACACTATCAGATAGCTTATACAGAGCTAAGCTCCTGCTCCCTTAAAAGCCCAGCTGACGCTGTGACAGTTCAGGAGCCCAGGGTTTTCTTTTGCTAAAACAGTTTTGAGAGCTCCAGGGAAGTTACTTTTTCTGCAATATTTATTGATTTGGAGGGCATATGTTGGGATGAAGATACTGAAATCTTACGGTAAGATTAAATATTCATGAAATTGCTTTTCTGAGAGCTAATGGACGAGACATGTTTACTGAAAAGTTTCACTACCGCCTTCAGGAAAGAGACATATACTAAGTTACTGTACAAATAACCTTCTCCAAAGCTCAATGGTTGGTGCAGTACAGTCAATTAACTCATACAAGAATGAACAAAGTATGATTATTAGACTGAGAAAAGCCACTGATTCTCTAAGAAAGAAATAGAAACATTTTTTTCTAAGTACACAGAAGCAGCATAAGTCTCAAGAACAGGAATTAGGTCAACTCATGAAATTAGATGTGGTTAAGCCAATACATCAGTTTATGTCAAGGAAATTAAAGTCAGGTATGAAATGCAACAATTCTCGTAACAATTTATGTCAGTAAGTGCACTGTTACAGAAAACATTCTTTTTAGGTACTTGTTTTTAAAGTTGGACTACAAACTATTTTGCACTGGAGGTGAGACTAGTTTCACTACTTGGCTTTCCCATCAGATGAGTAAAAGTGAAGTCATTCCACGCATCGCCTTCAGTATTTATACCAACCAATTTTCTGGCTAGTACTGGTAATGCCTGGCAGTATTTTACTAAGCAAGGAGCTGCCTGCACATAAATTTTTTTCACTTTCATTCTGAACAAACCAAGATGAGACTTAGTTACAAGACCCAATTCCTCCTCTCAGGGCCATCTTCAACTAGAAGGGAAGGAGGCAGGTAGTAAAAGTAAGCACTTCTCAAATCATAAGAACAAACTAAACCACAAGCTCTATTAGCAGCATACTTCATATGAAATTCTTAAAACTTGTGCAACGGGATAACAAACAAAATACATAATCTTATAGAACCTTTATCCTGCTACAGCACATTTTGTTCTCTATCAAAGCAACCAGAAACAGCAATATTACAAGAATTATAACAGAATTTTAAAATACAGCATCAATTTCAAGTCAGCTACCAGCAGAGGCAGATGTGCTTAATACCATCCTGTCTTTATTGCTCGTTCACAGTGTTTTCTACAGTGTCTTCTTTCATTGTGTCATACTCCCCAGCCCAAGTTTTTCTTTCCTTCCTAATGCATACAAGGAGAAACACATGACTGGTCTCAGTAAGACAAGCTAATTAGCTCAGGATTTTTGGTGCTTAGCACATACTGGAATACCACTGGATTTTACAGAAATAAGAACAACTTATATTGTTAATCCCAAACCAAAATACTTAAAAGACACTACAATGGCACTGGGAAAAAGAAAAAAAAAAAAAAAAAAGAATAAATTTTAATAAAGGCTGCAATAAACATACAAAAAGTATACTGATTCTGGATAATGCTAGAGGCTTGTCAAGAAAGCACTATTATAATACACAGCTTTTCAACAGTGAAGTACCTGGACTATTACTTTTTAAAAACATATGCAATGCATTTGGTACAGATAAATTGAAACTGCTCAGTACAGGAGGCACCAAACATGCTAAAAGCTGGAAACTGGAGCAGGATCTCTTCTAAAGGCTTTGTTATCTAGCAGTGTTAAATAAAGTATGGAGCACCTAGTTTGAATTTTAAACAAGCTCAGAAGAGCTTTACAGCTTGATTTAGGTGTGGAACAAATGTAGCTGGAACAAACATCAAAATGGCTGAGGACTTAAAGAGTACATTTCATTGATCCCTATCTGGGTTTTTCTGATGCATTTCACCAAGCTACTAAATAATTAGAGTTACTTAATCCAACAATTTCAGATGCAAAGCAATAAAATTAGTCCAAAATTAATCCCAGCTGGGTCAGAGAGAACAAGTGAGCTTTACAACTGGGACAGTGCAGATTTCTTTGTAATCATCCTTTATTGCAGGGATAACCAGTAAATTAAAGAGAAGCACTGCAGGTCTCCACTGCCATCAAAGCTGTGCATTCTGCACTTGGTAGTAAACCTGAGCACTGCCTTCTTGGTAGCTCAATCACTGACGAGGTTTCTTACTTGTGCTGACAAGAACGGAAGCAATGACTACAGCTACTGCACACATACAGAACAGGGCAGCAGTCAAAGCCAACTGAAACCAGCCAACTTGTGAATTGTACATAAAAGTGACTAAAGCTCAACACACCCAGACAACTGCTGTTAATACAGATAATGTACAGAGGCAGGATACAATTCTTAAAAGAGTAAATCACTGGAGGGGACCCCAAGACCAAAATAGGTTTGTTATGCTTTTTTCTGAAATTGAATTATTATTATTACTGTAGAACAGTTACATCCAGGATTATTTCTCCCTTAAATATGCTCTGTGCCACATAACCTTAAAGAAATCTCAAATTTTCTCAGGGCTGTGTTAATAAGTAACACAAATTCCCAGTCAGAAACCTGATCAGATAACTTCTTTCACAGGTAATTCACATAAGAAAACAAACGAAAAATGTAAGCTACTTGCTAAACACTGCCCGTGAGATTTATAGCTTATGTCTGATTCCTAGATGCTTAAAAGCATTGCTAACTCCTGTTGGTTCAAAAATACTTTCCCTAGTTGTGTACTCTTTTGCACAGCTTTTCGGTAGGTCGAGAAAACACATTAGAAAATACACAAAGAAGTAACCCTGTCAAAACCATAGTGCAACACTGTGAACCTTAACACTGTTGTGGTCACTGAGATAACCGGTGGCTTTCCAGTACCCTGTACTCTTCATGGCAATGAAGCATCTCTCAGAGGTTGCTTCTCCAGCCTTCGCTTTTTTAGGCTTTCCGTATACACCACATCTGACAGAAGCAACACACAAAGAACAAACAACAATGTGTCCCAGTCAACTGGCCCTGTACCTTTAATATTTCAGTATAAATACTTGTTCCTGTAAGTTTTAATATATGCATTTTTTTTCTCTTGGTTAACTGAAACAGAAACATAAGTTTGCAAGCACTTCCATAAGTAAAAGAAAGGAATTATTAAGTATATTAAATATATATATATATATTTAATGGTAGTCTGAAAAAAAAAAATTTGTAATGATACATGCCACAGCTGCTTTGTCTAATAAGAATGATGTTTTATTGTATGATTCATAAGGCAACACCCATTAAAATGGAAATAGTATACTTGTTTATGTAGTTTATGATTGAGTCAGGTCATTTTTGTTGTTTTCATAAACATAAATTGAACTAACTAAATCAAAGGTTGAGAAACTAATTGAAAGGCAAAAACTTGCAGAAGCAAAAAGGTTTATCCCTCCTATTGAAAAGTATAAAGAAAGCAATTACAAAATCAGAAAAACAACACCAACGAGGAATATCCTGAAGTTGTCCAATGGGTTAGTTAGCAATTGTCCTGCTTTAGATGTTACAGCAGAGGGAAAAAACAATCTAAATCACAAGCAGGGAACCTGTAAGCGCTTACCTGTTTCGAAGATGGCACATTGCTGTTATCTTTTTCCATGAGGCACCATTTCAAAACATTGGGCAAGGTTGGTGACTTCCATGTTGGCCATGGGTTGATAAATCTCCCATCTTTGCCTCTCTTTGATTTCGTTACATCTTCTTCTAGCCTGTAGTCCAGCCTGAAGCTTTTCCTGGAGGCTCTGGAAGAGTCACTGCCCCTGGATCCTCGATCTGAGTTGTGATGTTTCCTCACTGCTTCCTTTGGGTACTGGCTGGATGCAGATGGAGCAGGCTCTTCTATTTTCTTATCCATATCTTTTTGAGAACTGAAATACATTTTAAATTAATCAATATTTTTCTGGAGTAACGTCAATGTTTGTAAAACTGAATGTTCTCATACACTGGAAACAAGCCTACCCATTTTGTGATCTACTGTATTTTTCTCAACAAAATAAGCTTCTTAAACTGTTGCTATTACACAAAAGACATCAGAAACATGCTGTGGCAAGTTGACATCAGATCTCTTTGTAGTTCAGGCAGAATTTTACTCCCTGGTATGCACCGGTTGGGATACAAGTGCTATTATCTACCCACTGCGAGAGCTAGGGGGAAGGGTCCTTAATTCACATGTGGGAAGAATAGTTAAGTCCCTCCTGACACTTCTGACATTTAGTGCCTGATGTAATGTGATCCTTCAAGCACGTCCAAGAGACACTGGAACTACAGAGCACCTTAGGACTTGTCCACATAGCGACTGTTGTGTAGCAAGAGCAGCAGCCTCATGTAACACTAATGACACTGCTTCTGACTACAGGATGTGTCAACACATGCACACACATGCAAAAAAAAAAAAAACAAAAAAAAAAAAACAAAAAAAACAAAAAAAACAAAAAAAAACAAAAAAAACCCCAAGAGTTATTTGGTCCTATCTTGTCTGAAACAAAGGTAAACTTCAGTGGAGTAACAGCAAGATTAACTGCTTCAAAAACAAGTTTCATAAAAATTTGACTGAACTGACATATGAAAGGCCACAGAAGCTTGGAATATCACAAATTATGTCTGCAATGCCTGTTCTTAATCCCACTGTGAAATGAAGAGGAAAAAAAAGAAGTGAGGAAATAACAGAGAAAAGACTATTTTTCTGAAGCCATGCATATGGGGCATTTCTTAAAAAACTTTCATACTGTCAGTCAGAAGCTCTTATTCCAGACTGCACTGCACTGTTGGAGAGCTTAGGAGTACAGAGTTCCATTGACCTCTGTCAATGTGTATGTCCAAGGTGGAGAAAACAAGTATTTGGATTGTACTTTAAAAGGAATTCAGTCAAAGCCAAATGCTTCCATTTCTATATTTAATGTCAACATTTCAGTATCCTGATAATGCTTAAAAAACAGGTTGCTATTTTTAAAAAGTTATCTCCTTTCAAGTGCTTACAAGTTCTATCTGTTAAGAAGTAGAAGATGACTAGTAATGGACAGACAGTGTGATATGCTGCCTACATGCTGGAAGTTTTCAAGTTTTAATTAGAAATTGTGAAGTCTGTTCTGTGGAAAATTTTCCCCAGTACACATTTTAGACTGCCTAACAATTCATTAACTCAGCTTTTCAGGCTTCAGCAGGTATACTCATATGTGAAGCACCAGCCAGATGTACCAAAGTCGCTCCACTCAAAAAAGCTTTCAGAGAACAGAAGTAAATACAGCAGATGGTTTTCTAAAAACTTACTCCTTAAATGTGGTATTTTTTAAAGTAGTTGAATAGGCAGGACTCACTGCATCCCTCTTAAGTTCATAATTACAGAAAAAAATAGACTGTTACTGCGATATTTCAGCCTGGTTTTTGCTAACTGATAAGAAGCATCATCAAATTAAACTCAAATACATTTCCTTGTGATGCGCCAACTTCAAACGCAGAGCTCTGCCCTGCCACTTCAGCAGGGATCAACTGCAAAACAGCAGGTGAGGTGCCAGTTGTGAATGCACAACAATGGTTCAATTGACATTCAGACAACATTCCTGATCACATTTCTGAGAAGTAACACTCCTGGTCATAACCACACTTTAACTAATCTGCTTTTTATTCTGGTTTCCCTGTAGTTTTACTGAATCCACTTTATTATGTGTTTTCTATTTAGCAATAGTATATCACGTCTGTGTCACAATATTAGCTGTAACCACTGATGCTCCCAAACTGTCTTCTCTGTTCCATAAAATATCTGCTGGAATCAGCCTTCGTTTCAACACCCATCCAACTTTCTCTATGCCATTTTAAACAGATATAAGAGGTAAGAAGCACAAACTGCTAAAAGGAATATATGAGGAAACTGTACTGGATATATTAACTATTGCTTTAACTTGGGAGGCTTTTTGTGCCACTCTTCAAAGAGCATTTCCAGTGCCCAGTCAACTTATTAATTTAGCAAAGCACCCAGGCTCAGCATAAGACATCTACTCTTCCACAACACGTGGTGAAAACAACCCACAGAAGTTTAATCAGGTAGATACTTCATTCCAGGAAATTCTTTTGTTAACATCTTGGAGTCTAATTTTTAAATATATATGACTACTGTAATTATTATTCCTATAAGACACTTCATATTAGAGAGCAAAGAGCCTAAGGTTTTATTTTCAAGCTTTTGTTTATCTATTCATTCATCTCTGAAATAGGTGAATTCTGCTTTTGCTTACTTTTTTTGTATAAAACCTTTGATCTTATTCTGAAAGAATAAGCCTCTAGGGGAAGGAAGGATCAACTATGCTGATTAAACAAAGAAAATGCCAAAGCATTTAAGGCACTGCAGGTATATGTCTGCCAAGATATTTTCCACATGATGCACATACATTACTTTCATTAGTATTCCATTGGCAACTGAAGGGAGAAAAGACATCAGTGCTCACAGAATACTTCAGACTCTTCTAGATGCATGAGGACAAATTTACCAGCTATTAACTCACAAAGTATTCCCGATGAACCACAGATTTTTTTGAATTTTCAGCCTCACCAGATCACTTCTGTTTCACCTAAACTGGTAAAATGCTTCCAAGAATATTCAAGGAATGCAGTAGAAGAACTCTGACTTTTCTTATTAAAAATGTAGACTCATTTCTAGAAAGCTCATATGTTTCAACTATTAGCTTAAAATGAAACTCAACCAGTCATTAGCTTGAGGAGACTCTTACCTTTTTTTTTACAAAAGAAAGCCTCTAACAACAAAGAGATTCTGAAGTTATATTTTAAATGCTAAAAATTAAGCAGTCAGAAATGAGCTGATATTTCAGCCAGCTTTTATGAATTCTTCTCCAAGAAAAATAATGGTTTGGCAAATAGCTTCAAAGAATTTAAACACTGTATTGCCAACCAAATTACGAGGACAGAGGTACTACAAAATCAAACTGGATTGGAGCTGTGGGAGCAGAAGAAAGCAGGAGGAAGGGGTTGTGCCCTTAGTGAGTATTTGATCATGTAAAATTCTGTGTGAAATCTTTATTTTTCATGCTTTTAAGGGAAGAGGAAAGCTCTTACTTAGAAGTACTGAACTGATTTCTTAACATATGGAAATCATCCTTCAGGATGAGGTGACTTACCACAAAAAAGGGTAAAGGGATTGGCACATTGGTTTCAGACAGGAAGAAACATGACCATTCACAACTACCTGACCCAGTGGGTGGCAACCCTGCCCACCAGAGCAGGCTGGAACTACATAGTATTTAAGGTCCCTTCCAACACAAACCGTTCTATGATTCTGTGCTTCTATGACCTCCACACGCAGGGATGCTTCACTTTAGCTTCACTCAGAAAAAGAAACACATCATCACATACAAACTAGGGTATGAGCTCATGAGTCATGCCAAACCCATAGTGCCAGAAGGTACCCCAGACAGAGGGGAACAACCCTTTTGGATGAATAGGATGAAACATAACATGAATCAAAACGCAAAGCTCACACAACTGGTTTTCTAGCAGCAAACGCTAAGGGGCCCTTGTGAACCCACAAAGCAAAGAAGTTGTAGATGAGGCAGGACATGGCAAGGAAAATCAGGTCTTACATTCTGATAAACAGGCTTAATCCTAGAGAAAAAAAAAAAAAAAAAAAAAAAAGGATAAAGCTTTTATGACAGTAGATTTGATGTCAATTGTTTATTTTAGCATTGCTTGTATAACTGAAAGCTTGGGTAGAAATATTTTGGCTTTAAGCCTTTTCTATATTTAGGAAAACCATTAACAGCTTATGTAAACATTCTAATAGTTGCTCAGTTTTGTTCTAAAAGAAGTTTGAAAGCAGGATTCATTGAAGTTACAAGAAGCATTGTCATTAAAACTTTTATTTTAAAATACTCTCTGTAGAGATTTAAGAGTCACATGCACAAACTATCGCATAGGTCTCCACCTCTTCCAGCCAGCCTTCTCCATCAGTCATTGCTCAGTACCTGATAAGGTACTATGTGTGCACTGACACGCTAACTGTGAAGGCTGCTGGAACAAATTCATCCTTTTTCACACAGCAACGTGGTCCTTATTTAACAAATTCATAAGCCACAAAGGAAAAGAAAGAGTTACTAAGAAACCACGGTTTACTGGAATCCAACAAAACATCATACTTACCTTGCAAACATTTCCCAGCTTTTCAAATATCCCTACTAATCTCTGTTTTTGAAGAATCAATCTTTGTTCATTTCTAACTGCCATCTTTCTATACAGATCACACCCAGAATTGGGCTGCACTGTGCAATACCTAAAAGGGACAGTGCATGGTACTCAGCAAACTGAGTTGGTTTGTGCTTTTATCATACCACTACAGTCTTATCAAAGTGAGAACTTTCTGCGAGCTGTGTATGGCTACACGACTCAGAAAATGCTTTTCAATATACATGTTTCATGGCTGCAAAAAGCATGCTTTTGACTTGCAACTGAAAAAAGGATTTCAGCTAAGAGGCATTTGCAAACACTATGCAGAACACCAGTTTAAAAAAAAAAAAAAAAAAAAAAAGCCTTCTGCTCACTAAAACATCAAGTCACTGCCAGCTAAGTTCTGGCTGTGCTTTTATTTTTCCTTTAAGTCTGAAATTGTCTGCATTAATTAATGAACAGTTTGAGACTGGAAAATTCTGAATGCCTTTAAACCTTTATTGTTAAGTACTTCAGGCTGTCCAGGCCAGTTGCAACAGCAGTTATACCAGATGCTCTTGGTCTTAAGACTTCACATAAAGAAGATTTCAATCTTGCAACTAGCTGATCTATGAATACTTTTATTATTTGAGATTTCCAGTAAAAAGTTGCAAGCAAGAACAAGCACTGCAGAAGTTTTATTCAAACCATTTGATATTTT